CTCTCTCCTCTTTGGTTTAGACGTGCTTCAGTTCTTCCAGGGACCCATGAGCCGACCGGAAAGGGAGGATTCTTAGGCTCCCTATAGAGGCTTAATGCTCCTTCTTTCACCCTGGAAGAAGGATTGGAAACTCTCTAAATGAATCTTCTCCTTTTCTATGTGTCTGGTTCAGTAACGTCAATGTGGTTAGACAAACATTTGTAGTTCTATACGTCTTTTCACACAAAACCTATAAGAACTTTTGCAGCCATTTGCAAATAAGCACTTTCCTGGCATCAAAATATGTCTTTAAAATTATCGGACATCACATGAAGTCATTGGCAGATGTCAAACGGGATCAGACAATATTTTTTATTCTCTTATTGACTCCCGTTCATTTTTAACCCTTTGATGCATAATGGTCACTACAGTGGACAGGTATTCAAAATTGTTATTTATTTATTTTTGCTATTAAGCACAGCTGTTGAAGACTTTATTGCATTTGAGCCCTTCCATTTGGACTTCAGTAAGTCAAGCCAACATATTTCATGTTCAGAATGCACGCTGTCCACTGAGGTGGACACGTAATAAATTATTAGTAAATTATAAAAATTTACTAAAAATATTTGTTGAAATTTGTTTCATTCACACCTAAAGATTAATGAAAAAAAATGTTACAAAAATCATGGTTGAAGATTTCATAATTCATGCATCAAAGGTTTAAGGCAGTTGGGGACCCATGGTCCAGAAGTAGATTGGGGTGACTGACACCCGGAACACACCAGACGCGGAAGCACGACAATGTTCCGCGAAGCGCCGTGGAACGATGAGCGCTTCTAATCGGCGCCCTTGTTAACCTACGTTCTCGGTCACATCAGCTGCAAAGCGCCACGAAGGCTCCCGCCATGCAGCGATCATTTCGGCGTGAGCTCAAATTTTTTTCGTGAGCCGTGAGTGAGCCTCGTCAATTCTGGAAGGAAGTCAAATCAAAGCAGAAGAGGCAGGCTGGTAAATTTAACAAAATAAAAGAAATTTTTCAAAAATAAAACACAATGATTGATAAATGTGATCAATTTTTGTGTATCTAAAAAGACTAGAGAGATGAAAGTGAACAAAGACACACACACACGCACGCACACACACACACACACACACACACACACACACACACACACACACACACACACACACACACACACACACACACACACACAGCAAGGGCACGGGGGTGGGGTGGGGGAGTTTGGAAAACAGTAGGGGTGAGCAGAAGTGCTCGTTGAAAATTCTCACCTGATGTGAACAGAGGAGGAGCGGACAGCGCACTAATTTTGTGAACGATCCACTTCGCTGGTGGGTCCCAGATGTTAGGCTCCCTAATGAAACAAATTTACAAAAAGCTGCTGGAAATAGACAATAATGGTGTTTTAGGGAGAATGAGAACCGTGATGGTTACCATGGTGACCTTAATCAGCTGCTGGTAGTTACCATGGATATCTTAATAAGCCAACAGTGGTTACCATAGTGACCTTAATGAGCCAATGGCAGTTGTCATGGAGACCTTAATGAGCCAATGATGGTTGTCATGGAGACATTAATGAGCCAATTGTGGTTACCACAGTGAGCCACTGGCAACAGCTTTAACATTTCTGTAGATCTGGATTCTCCATACAGAGTTTATACATCAGAAAGTCAGAGCTGTTCTTCATCTTAGATAATTACAGAGTTGACGTTTGAATCTGAGGCAGTGGCTGCACTGGCACTCCTCAGAATCACTGAAGAAATGTTCTGGGTTGATTCTGTTGCCATGCTCGGCACTCTTCCCATCAGCTTCACCTTCTCCTCTCCCTCTCCGCTTCATCAATCACTTAAGCTCTCCCGCTGCTCACAGCAAAGCTGGACCAATTACGGCTTCTAATTGAGCCAATTAGCAATTAAACACTCAGATGCACCCAGAAAATGTGGAGGTCTTTCCAGGAAGACTCGTGTCTGCCAGCCTGCTGGCTTTCTACCAGAGACTCTGGCTTATTAGGGCCCTAGTGACTACTCAGACTCGAGGTGTGAGTTCAGAGTAAGAGGAGTCCAATCGACCCCCCCCACCATCAGCCTCTACACAGCTCTGTGGAAGTAGGACTGTTAATGTCCACTTCCAGAGACTCTCCAGTCCTCGTGTTGACTTTCCTCAAAGATGCTTAAGGGTCTATGCTTCCCTAACAAGCTTTTTCATTAATTGGACCTGTTTCCTCTCAGTCTTCACCTTTCATCATTTTGTCCCCCCTCTAAACACACATTTACACACTCCCTATTCATGTCAGCATCTCGATCTCCGGGTCTCTTTCGTGTGTGTGTGTGTGTGTGTGTGTGTGTGTGTGGGGGGGGGGGGTTGCGGTTGAAGAGCTCGGTTCAAAGCAGGCCGGCCTCTGGAGTTTTCACAGTTTAATAAGAACATGCAGTGTGCTGTCCTGCTTCTCTAAGAGCGGCACACACACACACACACACACACACACACACACACACACACACACACACACACACACACACACACACACACACACACACACACACACACACACACACACGGACACGCGTGGGCAAGAACAACAAAGTCCGCAGTAAGCAGAACAAAGGCTGGCACCAGTATTCTAACTCAGGATCCTGCTGCAAAAGGAGACAACGAGAAATTAAAGACACTGTTTGGGTTTAAATCATAACAGTCTGGGAGAATCTGTTTTCACCACAGTTTTTCAATGATATCTTTCCCTCAAAGAGCTTGTTGTACATAAACTTTATTGTTACGTGAACAAGCCTCGTTTGTATTATCTGCTCATCAGTCTTTAGACTCCAATTATCTTCTACCTTGCCTGAGGACACCAAACTCACACTTTTCCCTTTCAAACGGCTTTAATGGTAGTTGGAGAGGTGGAGAAAAAACCAGCAACAAACGCAGGAGTGTTTGAGATGAGGCAATAACTCAGTTAATGATGGCTCTAAAAAGGATAATTACAGCATCAAGCTAGAGAGTGTAAATGAGAAGAAGGTGCAACAGTGAATTTAGAAAGGACAATTAGCTCTTTGTCCTGCGTGTTTGGATGTTTTTGTCTGTACAAGTCTTGACTCATCATTTCCCTCCAAAGCCTGAGACCTTTTAAAGAGTTTTAAAGAGATCAGTCGCTCATATAACTTTCTGAAAGTTTTTCAGTTTTTCTTTGTTCTTTGGAAACTTTTTTCCTTGATTTTGAGAGGTTCATTATTGTTTTAAGCTGTTAACAAAAGCTCATTCAGCCACACTAAACTGAAGGGATAAACCATTGATAACTTGGAAAGAAACCATTTTTTATTAGCTAACGTTTGAGCTAGGTAGCTAGTAACACTTTCTGCCACAAAGACATGATTAGTTTTACTCTATTAGTTGAATTTATGAAAAACATTAAAGCTAACAGTTATTTTAATTTTGTAACACCAATAATGCAATTTTCTAACAACCGTTAGCTTAAAAAACTTAGCTTACGGTAGCTGGATTAACTGAAGGTTTTTGGTAGTTATTGAAAGTTTGTGACCAGCAGCCACTTATAAGAAAATCCTTTTTAACTAAATGTATTATGTTTATACCATACCATACCATACCATACCACTTTATTTATATAGCACTTTCAACACGACATTACAACCATACAAAGCGCTGCACAAAAAACAAGCAGAAAACACAAGTTAAAATAGTCAGGCAGATGGAAAATGTAGAAAGGAGCAAAAGAAATAAAAACAACAGACTATTAATAGTAAAAGCAAATAAAACCAGAATATAAAAACACAAAATTAAAATTGAATTGACTAGGTGGGATAATGGATGAGCTAAGGAGTTATTGAATTAGGGATCGAATGCGTAAGTGAAGTAGAGGGTCTTCAGACGAGATTTAAAGACTGCGATAGAGGAAGCTTGTCTAACCTGCAGTGGTAATGAGTTTATTCTATGAAGAATACCATAAATAGTATTCAGTACCAAACTCAACCCTGTTTTTAGGTAAAAACACAATGAAAAAACATCAGAGGACACAGTTATTTTTTCTGTTATTCTCCATTTTGCATTGATCTTGGGAAATTTACAAGATTGCAATTGTGACATAAAAGTATATAGGCTAGGTTTATAAACAGTCTGACCTTACTGTATGCCCTGAACCACAACACAGACCAACACTGTCCTAATCTTTGCCTTCTTTTTATGACTCTGATACATGAAGATTTGTACATTTCCACATTAGATTACATGAATGGACGGACTATCTGTGGGTTCTCATTCATGTGTGAGTCAGTGGAGGCTTACCCAGCCCATGTGTGTTTGTGTGTGTGGGTCTTCGTGTTCTACGTATAGCCAGAAAACGTCCCCGCCTTTTTTAAGCTGCTTACTGCCACACACATTATTGACCTTCGACCTTACTGGGCAGTGAAAGGCTTGCTCTAATCTCTAGCCTCTCTAGTCTTCGTCCTTTCCGTCTACTGTACTTTTATCTACAGTCGTACCAGGAAATAAATGACCAGTATGATGAGGATTGTTGGGGGATGTCGTTTGAGAATACTGATCCACTGAAACACGTTTCCTTTCTGGAGTAATCCGGCATGTTTAACATGCAGCATATCATACCAGAGATGATATGGCAGGTCTCGCCAGCTTAGGGCGCATGTGCCCTGCTGATGGTTTTCAAGCATAGTGCTGTAGATGTGTGGATTGGAGCATTCGTGAGATTTCATTAAGAAAAAAGAATTGCAAGAAGGTGTCAAATGTGCTTCCAGGCAGAAAAGTGATTTTACTCCCATGAAGTGTAACATGTGAATTACCACATTAAGCATTCCCAAAATAATCCGTTTACCTCATCTTTCTTAATGCTGTCTTCAGAGTTTGAAAGTCTTCTCATTTTAAGCCTTTCATCAATGTTTTTTTTAGCTTGGCCACAGTTAAAAATGGAGTGCTGTTATGTTTCAGTCTGCTGTAACCTCTTTCTTTCCCTTCTGTTTCTCTTTCTTCCCCACAGATCAACTCATCAATCCAGTTATGAGGATGAAAGGAGACAAATAGGTATGGAACGCAACAGAACCATGGATGGGGAAGTGCTTTGGATCGTTGTTAATCGGAATCACCATTGACCTGGCACCCAAACCAAGACCCAAACCACTTTTCCCAGAACCCCAACAACCCTTCTTTCCCATCTTACCTCCTGCCTGGTCTTGATCATCAACGCATCACCTGTGGTTTTCATTTTTACCTGTTATGCTTCACTGTTCTCACCGTTGGTCCTAATCATCCCAGAAAGAACCAACTAAAAGCAGGAGGATGAGCAGTATGATTGCAGCCATTGACTCTATTCCAAGGTTAAGTAAACAAAGGCGGCAGGGTTTGCTGTCCAGGACACATCCCTTCAGCTTCCTGACAGACCGGAGCCTCATGAGCATGCTAGGTCTCGTCTTGTTTTTCAGCCTGGCTTCATGCCAGCGGATGGACCCTTCCAAGCACCCCATAGTCAGCACCAACTATGGAAAACTCCGGGGTATCAAGAAGGACTTGAACAATGAGATCCTAGGCCCTGTGGAGCAGTACTTGGGAGTGCCGTATGCCACGGCGCCAATAGGAGACCGCCGATTCCAGCCACCAGAGGCTCCGGGATCCTGGCAGGAGATCAGAAACGCCACCCAGTTTGCCCCCGTTTGCCCTCAGAATGTACATGGGGTGCTGCCAGAGATCATGCTTCCTGTATGGTTTACAGACAACCTAGATGTGGCGGCTGGATACATTCAGAACCAGAGCGAGGACTGCCTCTACCTCAACATCTATGTCCCCACAGAGGATGGTAAGTTAACAGACAAAATCAAAAGGGCTGGTGGGGGAGAAAGGAAATACGTTTTTGACTTTTTTTCTTTACGGAGTTTTGACCCGTTCAGTCAAACTTTCAGACCTACAAAATCCACATATTCAGACAAGAGAATACACAGAAAACAGACCTTTGTTTTTTTTGGTCTGGGGGATTTGAAGCGTGTTCATGATAGGAAACCATCCCTAGATGGGAAAAAAAAAATCATTGTTAGGATTTTTGAAAAGTTTCTGGTAAATGGGTCACGTTTCGGTTTTTGGTGATTTCAGTCTCGGTTGAAGGAATTTATCTAAAGTCCAGAATCGTTATGTGTTCATAAAGATGGCCTTGGTTAGACTACTTTAGACTTTTTTAAGCAGAGATTGTTCTTTTCACATCTCTGTCATGAGGACACCAAAATTTCAAGAAATGCTTAAGTGGCATTGACTGGTCAGAAGGTCATGGACAATCCCAAACGTTCCAGTATGGAAGAACTCCTGATCATGGAGAATATTCAATGGCAAAAGAAATTTGTTTTTATGTGACATTCTTCACAATTTCTTCTTATTTTTTTTATTTTTTTTAATCTGACATTTAATGGCAACGTGGTCTGAAAACATCTTGGCATTCAAAGAAATTTCTATTAGTTCTCTCCCTTTACATTGATCCTAGCTGGCATGTTTGAAGTCTGGTACGGCATCCTCCTCATACATTATAGGTTAGATATGCTCAATTTTAATAGGTTTTCTCTTTCTAGGCTGTTTTTAATCACAGGAGAAAAACGTCAGTTATTGTTGGCGTTCATCTGTGTTATTTCTAGTCTCATCAAGGTATTTCAGGCACATTTTGAATGTCAAAGACATTTTTTTTCACTTTACCAATTGAAATGTGTTTAAAAACAGAAGGGTAACCAGTTAGTAAATTCTATCACATATAATGACTTTAATGGGGAATATATAAAGTGTTCATTTCCCTAATTAAACTCCAACAAACAGCTCATAATGGCAGCTCAAAGCTGGCTATTTCATAGTGAAACCATTTGGGAAGGATGTCATTCTCACTTATCTTCTTTATTACTTATTCTTAGTCATCGTGTGAGAGGTGGGGGACATCCTGAACAGGTCTCCAGTTCATCACAGAGACACACTGAGACAAAGTGACCCCCTCAGATTAACCTGAACATACATGTTTTTGGATTGTGGGAGAAAACCCATAAATGCATAGGGAAAGCATGCTAACTCCACATAGAAAGGCCACAACTGGAATTCGAACCTGCAAACTTCCCACTGTAAAGCAACCATGAATCCTGGAACACATTTTCAAATAAACAAATTCATGTGTCTTTTTTTGTCCTTAAAGATTAGCAACATGATGCAACATGCTTTTCCAGGAGGTCAAAACAGTTGTAAAGATGTAAAGATTCATGTTTGCATCTCTAAAAAAAATTAAAATTTTAATAACAACTGAAGAATGAACCACAGTCGACTGATTCAGATATTGTCATGACAAATTAGTCTGACCATTAGAGACACAAAATTGCTAATAATACACACGTGTCCATATAAAATCATGTTTTGTTTGTCCCTAGGACACTTGCTCATATCAAAACAGAATGAATCGTCACGTGTGCACTTTTTAAACGATATTTGCACTTATTTTCTTGTTGCAGTTTAGTTTCAAAGTGTCCCAATTTGTTTGCAGTCATTTTGTTGCCACATTTTCACGATCCAAAATTTTGATTCTGGTTTATTTATTTATTTATTTGTGTCTCCACTCTGTCCTGTCCTCGTTTGAAAGATCAGTCCCTCCTGAAGTTTTCTCACACCTCACAGTCACAGAAAAGTGTTTGAGGACCCCCCCAACCCCCCCCCCCCCCCCCCCAACCCCTGCAAACACTTTGAGACATTTTAGAGACTTTTCTACGGATGGCATTCACCGTTTGATGCCAACAGTTCAAGCCTAGTGAGATACCGGCTCTAAATTTTAGACAACTTTTCTTGCATGTTTCATCACTATGAGCCCTCTCCTCTCACTCCAGACTATCGTCTTTGTCAGCCACTGTTTAACATTTGGTGAAAACAATAAAAAGGAAGTAGTTCTGTCTTGTTGGCAGGTTTAATATGAAGACTCTAAACTTCCACCAGCCCTCCTTCTCTCCCTCTCCTGGCCTAGAGTATTGTAAGATGTTTGTCTCTTCATTTCTTTAGCTCCTATATAACCTACAAAAAGCCAGGACCTTTCTGAATAAAGTAAGGATTTAAGGCCATAGGAGTCCCGTTGGCAGATTTCACTTGCAAACAGATTTATGCTTTGACCTCTGAGTCAACTGGACTTCCTCTGAGGGGAAGCTTTACTGAGGAATTCTGTCAGGCGTCTGTGCTGTGCAGATAACGTGTACGGCTAAAAAAGGGAAACAAATAAAGTTCACACTTTCAGTGGGTTATTTCTACGGATGTCTACATCCAGTTTATTAGCTGAGCATTTGCTCCGGGTGCTGATTGCAGCCCTCGTCACCTCATCGATGCCACTCAGAGCTTCTGGGGTTCTAACAGCATCCAGCCCCATACATCAAGCCTCCCAGCAGGCTTTTGCCTTGGTTTTTGGAGACACAGCGAAAATGTAAATGTCACACAGAGAAATATATACCAGCCGCTCACTCACGGAGTCTCCTGCTGTTGGAAATGTCACACAATTGTAACCCTCCCCCACCTTCTGACTGTGACTTTTCATCAGCATTCACAGGGCGCTCAGCGGAAACAAAAATCATTATCAGTCAGGTGTGCAGGTTAATATCTCTTTGTTTTGCAACTCTTTTCCTCCAACACTGCTTTTGAATATTTTGTTTGCATGTCCCACTGAGAGAAGGAGACGAGGAGATTGGTAAATTGGAAAAGGGAAGGAGGGATAACGAGCTTTTGGCTAGTAGTTCACAAATAAGCTTCCCCCCACTTTCTTGTGCTGCAGCCTCATTTTCCTCAGAGTATTCCAAAGCCCAGTTCTTCTATCCGTTTACTGTTCTGATAGAGTACCCTTTAGAACGGTTCCTTGAAAACCTCCTCTAATTTTAAGTGGATTAATCCTGGAGAATTACTTCTTAATGCTGCCATCAGTGCACATGCGTGAAAGTGGGACGCTCTGACATGAATTTGTGTTTGCTCACAGATAAAGAAATTTCGTAGCATTTGGCAGGAACCTGTGGCTCTTTAATTAATACTTAAGTGCTTAGGAAGCTGCAAAGAAAGCCATGTGTTGTTGATTTTCTGTTAACTCCATGTAACTGACTGGTGTGCAGCTGACATTCTAACAAACTACTAGGGTAAAACACAAGGATATTTTTGTTAGTAGTAAAATGTTGGACCTTTTTAATGCAGTATCTAACAATCCAATATCATGAAGGTGATAAATTAATGTTTACTTAAAATGTTCCTAGCAGGCTAAATTCTGACAGTACAAGAACCAGAACTCCCTGAATTTGGACAGATACACTTAGAGCCAAGCTAACAATGAATTAATGTAAAACTAACATATTGCACTGAGAACCAAGCCTAAAGTTGCTCACAGTCACAATAAATGCTACAGAAATTTAAGCTAGCAGCTAATTACAGTCAAGCTAATGTTTAGCAAACAAGGAACAAATCAAGAGGGATTTCTGTCTTTGAAAAGAGATAAAATCCTTTTAGCAGTTCAGCTGAATGTTACATGAACAATGTTAACACACTGTCATGCTTTTCTAATGAAACGGCTGTTTTGCTATGCCATGCTGTTGTTATAGGGAGCTTAAGTCAGACCCATCTACTTCCAGACCATGGGTCCCCAAAAAGGACAAAAAAATCAAAGTCAATGGAGCTAAAAACACTACTTTCCAATTCCGCTTGTTATGTGCCCATGGATTTCATATTTGATGTCTGTGAATTTTAAATAAGCATTTTCATACCAAGAAAATGCTTATTTTCAAATGGGGGAAATGTTATTTTAGGTTTGGTGTTAAAATACGTCCACGATTACAAATGTGCATCACTAAATTGATGTCACCAGACACGGAGAAAAACAGGAAAAATGGTTGTAAGTTCAGCGAATTTCAAATGTTTCCTTCAGGAGGAAAGAACCACCACAAGTCTGACCAAGAGGTAAGACACACCTACGCTATGGGAGAGGAAATTGACGTCATATGTGACGTACTGACATCTGATGTGTAATCATAGGAATTTAAACATTTTACAAGCTAATAAATCTCAGAAAACGTGACTGGCGTGGTTGAAACACACTTCATTACATTTCATTTAAATTGAAGTACAACATGTGTGATTAGATTAGAAAATAACTGTATCTTCATTGGCTTACTTTCTTTTGTTCTTCTGGGAACCCATGAGGCGGCCAGAAAGGGAGGAGGCTTAGGCTCCCTGCCCAGTTAGCATAGCAACACTGATGTAGTTTGTAGTCAACGTAAACAATAATGCTTATGTACAAGTAATGAAGTGCAGAATGACTTAATAAATCTTTAACTGAACTGCTTAATACATTTTTAAATTCAGTCTTGGAAGGCTCTTGCCGTGGATAGCCGTTAGCTTAACTCCCATATGAGAGTTTCTCCTGGATTCTCCAAACTGAGCTTTTTCTGACTGCTGTCTACAGCAGCCAAGAGGCTAATTAATCGTAACTACCCCCAAACATCCTAGCCTCCAAAATAACCCATGAACAGTGCTGTGGAAAACTTTTTCTCCCCCCAATACGTCAATACAGCATGACAGTGTCTCCAAACGTACAACAGACATGTCAGTCATACTGACAGGAAGTAGCTCTTTGACAGAAGTTATGGTCCTCCTGACAACACAGGCTACAAATTTAATGGAATCTTGCTTTTTTTGCTTTTTTCCAGCGTCAGACAAACAATATTTATATATAAATCACAATGTTCTGTACAACCCTTTTACTAAGCAAATATATGTATAACTTGAATAGATGATTACACATTTTCGCCCAATGAAACAGAAACTTGGAGC